ATCCAGGGATTTCAACTTTAGGAAGGGGGGCGGGGTTACTGTCCCTTAGCCCCCATACATAGTGCCCTTGCTGAGGCTCTCTGCTGCATCTGTGGTCTGGATCCTGCAGCTTTGTGGGCCGAACACGTCCCACAGGCTAAGACCATCCCTGGCAGGTGTTTGTCTAACCAGCTCTTTAAAATCTCCAATGATGGAGGTTCCAAGACCTCTCTAAGCAATTTATTACAGTGTTTAACCACCCTGACAGCCAAGAAATTTTAGGCTAGGCATTAGAAAAACACCCTTGATGCAATTAAGAAGAATATTTTTTTCTCCTTCCTCCTTGTAGAGATTTTAGAGAGCCAAAGCCCCAAATCCACACTTACAGAGTTTCTAGGAGAAGATTTATTAGAGAACCACCACCACCAAAATACTTCAGCTGTCTACAGGTACTTTACAAAAATTACTGAATTAAAATACAGCTGATGTGATAGGTCAATCGTATAATCACCATTTTACAGATGGAACATTGGCACAGAGACACAAAGTGACTTTCCTAAGGTCACACAATGTCAGAAGCAAGACTAGAACACACTCCTCCCGACTCCCACTACCTGCGTTTAGACAAACGGAAAGAAAACAAGCTACCACTGAACTAACTTTGACTGTCATGTTCTCCATGGTAACTGCATGTGGATTTCTGAAGTAAAGAATATTAAGTGATAAAGATGGAAAAGACCTATTAAAGCATCCATCCAGTCTGTTGCCCTGCAAAAGCTTGGTTGTTCCGAGGTATATTTCTTAGTGCTATGATTGTAGCCCACTGGAGAATGGCTAATGACCACTGGGGCAGACCTGCATTCTCACTAAAACAGGAAAGAAAATAAACAGGCTCCTCTTTCCCCCCATATTTGTCCCAGATACTCACATGAAGAGAATACAAAATCTGTCACTTTTAATTGCAGTAGACCTTCACTCATTTTCTAATGCCAGAGGCCAACACTTTGGCACTTTCTCCTGCAACCTTGTTTGCCTATGTCAGCAAACAGGCTTTATAGAAGGTGCCAGGAGCACTGTGATCTGCACTAGACACAAACAAGCTAAAGCCAACGGGACCATATAATTTTTCTGCAACAGCAAACAACAGGACAATCACTAGCCATGTGATTTACTGCACTGCAAGTTCCCTAGGCTGCCACAGAAAAACCATTCATGTTTTTAAATGACTTCAGAAACAGAAATACAATGAAAAATCAAGGGCCCTTTCTATATTGAACAGTGCATACTGCTCTGTTAAAGGACAGTGTGCTGATTTCTAAATGATCCATAAATCAGTCCATGCAATGACTTCCTTGTAGGTGTTTCCCCTTTAATCAAATGATGCCAACAAACAACAACCTTCAAGAGTCAGTTTCTCTGGTGTCAGCATTCTCCTTCATCCATATCACCTGGGACTCTAGTATATGTTTTTTTCACTAGCCAATAAAGTGGGAAATCACCATGCCAGATTGCTCATTTTCAACACTTGGGTTGTGACTGCACTGGCGCGATCTCATGCAAAAGCGGCCGCTCTTGTGCAAAAACTTGCTGCCTGTCTACACTGGCCACGTGTTCTTGCGCAAGTAAACCGACGTCCTAATGTATCAAATCAGGGCTCCTTGTGCCAGCACTCTGTCGCTCCCGCTCAGGAAGAAGCCCTTTTGCACAAGAGCTCTTCCAGAAGAGGCCACTGTAGACAGGCAACATGAATTTCTTGCTCAAGAAAGCCCTGTGGTTAAAATGGCCATCAGAGCTTTCTTGCGCAAGAGAACATCTACACTGGTATGGATGCTCTTGCGCAAAAGCACATCTCTTGTGCAAAAGCACATGCCAGTGTAGACGCTTTCTTCTGGAAGAGTTTTTGCAGAAGAACTCTTCCGCAAAGGAGTTCTTGCGCAAGAAGCTGCCAGTGTAGATTGTGAAAGCAGGCTCTTTGCTGGCCAGGCCTCTCGCGCGTATTGCCATCCAAGCAAAAGGTCAACTTCCCCTTGATGAAAAACCCTTATACTATGTAACTTAAAGATCAGCGACGAACAGGAACCAAAACCAGACCTAAAAAGTTCATGTAAAGTTCGTACTGGTCATGCTGACTGTGCCATGCCCAATAAGGCAGAAAAGGAAAAACAGGAAACCATCTCACCCCCTTACTCCTGTCACTTAACAGGCAGGATCTGCTAGCCTATCACAAAAAGCGTGCAAAAGCTTTCTCTATAAAACAGCTTCCCCTCCTGTGTCAAACTGAGGAATCCCGAATAAACGTTGGAAGGCAGAATATGAGCCAGGTCCGAGGACTGATCACCCGAGGGCCACCTCCCACTCACCGAACCAAATGAGTTCCTGTAGAGCGTAACGTATACCAAACAGAACGAATACCAAATATGTTGTTGTTACTGTTGTAGTTTGCGTGTCTGTTAAATGTAAGTATTGTTATCTGAAATTGTTTAGAGGTATTGTTAAAATACATTTACTCTCTTCCCCATGTGTCTGCAGCAGGGTGTCTGTGCCAGGACTCAAGACCAGATGGAAACACTGTACCTAGTATCACAGGGCTTGCTCTTTCTTAAGATAATTGCTCAGAAACAACCTGGACCTCTGTACTTCTCATGCAATTGTCCTATTTCCTTGAAACTTAAGAGGGTGCCCCAATATTACTCTTGATAGATCTATGCTTACATTTTAAGTCATTCATTGTAAGTAGGATTAGTTTATAGGGTTACTAATGATGGTAACTCAGCTACTAAAGTAACAGATGAGGAGGACAGACAGAAGAGAGCAGGAGGGCTAGGGAAAAGTTGAGAGATGTCAGGAGCAACTCATGAGCCTGCAAAGACACCTGCAGGAGCCTAACTCAGCACCAAGTACAACCAACCAATGTGCTAGCAGCTGATGGGGTGAGCTCATCAGGAGGATGGAACAAAGGCTGGGAGAGCACAAGACAATACTAAGAACAAGGAAAGTCATAGGCCAGCCAGCAGTTGAAATGAGATGGAGGAAAGCCACAGGCACTTAGAAAGAGGGTACTTACCGAGATCCTGTTGCCAAACTGAGGTGGTGAAAGACTCAGGAGCCTGGTGAGAAGGGTGTGGGGAACTGAGGGAGCCTTTATGGTTGGAGAAACCAGCCTCTGAGTGGTGAGAAAAAGAGCCCCCGGGAAGAGAAAATGGAGACAAAGCCAAAGGGACTGGAGACAGCAAGAAGGTAACGGGGGGGGGGGGGCTGTGTGTATGTGGTTTTAGGCTGGAAAAATTATGCCCTGGCATTCATTTTTGTTAATGTTCTTAGAGGACCCCTTTATGCATAGGTCAGCTCATGTGCAAGTAGATACAATCTGTATCTATGCTGGCTTAGCTAAGTGTCAGATGGCAATAAGCATTTTGCACTGGTTTCCATGGAAATGTTAACCAGAGCAGCTGGTAACCATTGAAATAGTTATTAAAAATCAGTTTTTCCCCTGGAGTGGTTTATTTTGTCTTTTCTCCTACAGTGACTGCACGGAAGGATATTGACAGAGCTGGGATCGTTCTTCCTTTTTTGCATTATACAGTACTAAGCATATGCAAAGCAGAAATCACAGATGCCATTCAAGGAAGGGACAGTTCTGACCCTCACATTTGCAAGTTGCCAAGTGCTACTTTGAAGGTGACCCAGTGTGATTTCCAGTCTGCGAAGGAGGTTGTCTCATGAAGCTTCTCAGGTGATTTGGCCATACTGCTCTTGCTGCTGAGATACATGCTTACGGGTTAGTTTGTCAGAAACATGCATGAGTTCCATTTGCCTGTGCGCAGACTCCACTCAGTGCAGTTGGCTGCCAGGGAATCACGTAAGCCCCTTTGAGTCTCTGCCTGCCCAGCCCTGGCATGACTGTTCTAACTTGGGTCACAAGTAGAGGTGGGGAAAGTGGTGCAGAAGCAAACTCTGTTGACAACAGGGCCGGTGTTACAGTGTCCTGTTTGTCAAACTCGTCTGCACAAGGGGGGAGGAACCATTCTCCAACTCAGATGCATCCAGTTGGGCCCTTGGGAAAGCCTTGCCCATTAAAAGCCCTCAGGCTCAAGGAACCTTAACAGGCAGGATCTGCTAGCCTATCACAAAAGGCTTCCTAGGTCTATGGTGCTTGTTGAGCTAATATCCTGCAGGGTAACCAAGACCTGAATTTTCCCACTGCATTTCAACACACCAGTGTAATATCAAATACAAGACACAATACCTACCTGCCTGAGGAAGGACCATAGGGCGTTCCTCACCTCTGCTGAGTTCTATGGACCCACATGACCAACTCCCTTTTTCAGGTAGTCACTTCCTGGCAAGATCAGCAGCAGCATAGGGCCAGAGCCACCCAGGTGTAGCAACAGGCAGCCATGATTAAGATCTGATTCCAACCTCACAGTTTCAAAATGGATGCTCTGGCTGAGCCCGTCAGGGAAGCTGATAGAGGGATCCCATATAGTTACTTCTGTAAGAGAATCAAACCGCATGAAAAGGTCCAAGCTGTTAATGTGTATCTCTGAACAGCTCTACAGGGAGACCTGCCCCTCCCCCAAACTAGGGGGAGAAGAATGGTATGGTAAGAGGCAGGCTCATAGCTGGATGTGGGAGGATCTGGGTGCAAGGGGAGACAGTCTCAGGAGAACCTCTGTGAAAACAGTGCACATGGAAGGTTTTTGCTGATGTAGGATTTAATGTTAACTGCTCTCCACGACTACTTCTGTGTGGCAGGAGAAAAAGGGTGCTCCTTCCTAAGTGTTACAAGGGACTTGCTTTGCCATTTGCAACAGAGTCTCTTTGGGTACCAGGGGCACCTATAAACCATTAAGTCCACTCCCTTCAGTGTTTCTTTTGAAGTGGCCTGATAACTCTATGCAAAGGAGTCTGGGGTGCATTTTAGGAGGAGCAGTTACATGTGCGGGAAAGTAGCTAAATGACAAGGGGAGCAGGGAAGGAACCCCTGTTTGCAGAAAGCAAAGAAAATAAAGAGGCTGAACTCTTGGTTCAAAGTGGATTTTATTCCAGGCATTTAAATATACAGGTTCTGGCACATGCTTTGGTTAAGAAAAGAAAAAATAAACCTGTGCTTCACATTAATTACATTTGGCAAAGAAAACCTTTTAATCAAGTGAAAGAAAAAAACCCTTTGATATCTGCACAGCTATAGTTTCAGCTCCTGATAAATAAACCCTAATCACTTCCCAACCTGCACATAAAATCACACTGAATGATCAGATTTAATGAGCTTTCTTATGGATGTCCTCTTCTATTAATCTGAAAGCTTTTCCTCCTAGTCTAAATGCCTGATCAAAGTCAACAGGCAAAACAACCAGTCACTACGTCTGCTGATGGTTTTTATTGAGTGGGGCCCAAACTGTGAGGTCTTTGCTCAGTTTCCACCAGCCAAAGCTCCCACTGGCTTCAGTGAGAACTTTGAGAGAGCTTCAAGATATGAGGCTAATGGAATTGGACTGTGGATCACGTCCCTCACATATGATCTATGGCAGTGGTCCCCAACCTTTTGGGGCTGCCGGGCACCTGGGGGCGGGGCCACTCATGCGCTGGGCGCCCGGGGGATGGGCTGCGCATGTGCCCAGGGGTGGGACCACCCATGTGCCCAGTTCCAGCACCACCTATGCGCTGCACTCCCGGGGCCGGCGCCGGTCCTGGGCCGCACGCCCAGGGACAGGGCCACCCATATGCCACGCGCCTGAGGCCGGAACGGCCCATGCGCTGCATGCCCGGGGCCGGCGCCACTCTTGTGCCACGCATCCAGGAGCCGGCAGCGCCCATGCACCGCGTGCCTGGGGCCAGTGCCGCTCCTGTGCCGTGTGCCTAGGGGCGGGAATGCCCATACGCCGCACACCCAGGAGCCAGCAGCTCCCACGTGCCTAGGGATGGGGGCAGGGCCAGCCCGATCACTCAGCGGGCACACAGAAATGGCCCGGCGGGAGCCATGGCACCCACGGGCACCACGTTGGGGACCACTGATCTATGGAGAGCACATTTATGACAGATTTAGAGGAGTCCTCAACTGTTTTGGGAAGTCAAGTGGTTTGTTTGAAATTTCAAGAAGCAGCAATCTGTGCTGGTCCCTTATCCAGAATGACAAACATGAAACAAGAGCTCTGCAAACTATTGATTAGTTCTAATGTAAATAATTAAAACTGGTGTTAGGGGGGCTATGTTTTGGAATCAGCCTTTTGTTAGCATGCACTGCTGCAGCTAATTCCTTGGCCTGACACCCAGAGCAGGCAGTGAGGAAATTTCCTCAGATTGATTTTTGCATGGAATATTCATTGGTAAATGGAGCTCTTGCACCAGAACCAACCTTTAGTCAAACAGCCATCTTGGATGATTCAGAATGTGGGGACTACGTACATACAGGGCTCAGTACCCGCAGTCAGTAGTTACATTTCTTCTCAGGGTCTCATCACAAAGGAACCCAATGTAATTGTTTTGTTTGCAGAGGTGGAGTTAGAGCTGGTGTTAGCCCCCAATGGAGTTACCAGACAAATTCTTAAAAGAACAGCAAGGAAGACAGCATTTCTGTCCTCTCTCACATTTAGGGCTATGTATACACTAACACTTATGGCAGCTTAACTTATGTGGCTCGGGGGCGTGAATACACCGCTAGTAAGGAATCCTGCAGGATGGGAAAAATAGGGAAGCTCAGGGGGTCTCCCAGTCTTATGAAGCACACCAACCTGACTAACAAGGGTTGGCTTTGGAGTAGCTACTGCAGTGAGATCTTGCCACAGAAGCCTTCCTGGCCATGCTGGCTATTTGAAATAGGCAATGGGAAGCTGAACAAAGTATCTCTGGGAGGAATAGCACTGACACAATCCCGTGGAGTATTGCCCAAATACAAACCTTCCCTCTTCCCCCTCCTCTGCCCACTCTCCATCCGTATTACAAATCATGCGTACAATGGCAGCGCCTACCGACCATCCAAGATTGCTGCTCCCACAGTCACAACATGGTCCTTGCTTCCAAAGATCCGCTGCCCATCCCCCCAACCCATGCATGAGTCATGTTGAATTTCCCCCAAAGCAACCTCATTGCAGCAGTTTGAGGCAACACACAAAAACCACCACAAGCTGTTACGGAGACAAGCCAGTGGAGTCCCCGGAGCCACCAAGAGTTTGTAGAAGCATTGTCAAGGCCACTGGTTACATGGAATCCACAGGACTGAAGAATCACACATTTCAATGCAAAGGAAGGAGAGAGCTGTCGGTCAGTACTTGTTGTGCCGAGCGCTATTCCGCTGCTGGGTTGTGCCTTCTCCTGCCTTGGACTGTTGTTGTCCAAGGATGTCAGTTACAGCGGAGAACTGGAGACAGTGGATGGGCCAATTTCAGTGCCACTTCTTATCCCCCCCCTTTCCCTAACTTCCTCCTTAAACATTCAAAAGCAGTGAATTTTCAGCTGAAATGGTGACTTGCTGATGATCACAATCAAAACATTAGGGTTAGAAATGATAAACCTTTACTCCCCACCCTAACCCCTTCCATTCCCAAAGTCTCATGCAGAAAGAAACAGAGAGGTTTCCAGGCTACCATCATGTGACTTGTAGCAGCTCCCACTGTTGGCCGGGTATATCTGATTGGCATGGGTTGGTCACCACCCTGCTGGACTGGTTTTCCAGGCAGAGGCCGCTGACAAAGTGCTGAATGAAGCTGCCTTTCATCTTCCATTTCTGCGAGAATGGAGGGAAGGGGGGAGGAGAAGAGAGAAGAAACAATGTAGTGAGACGAAAGGCTCCCCCTACCTTTCACCATAGAGGCAGCCCTCCCAGGTGGAAACAGGAAGTAGGGTTCAGTACAAGTGAAATCAGATTGGTGGGGAACAGAGTGGGAATTCAGGAAATTGGAATTCCAGTTTGGAGTGACATTTCCAAACCCTGGGATCCTCTGTATTTTCAATAGCCAGGGTTTGGCGGATAGGCGTTCACCTGGACTGATAGGGCCAGGTTTTCAGAGATATTTAGGAGCCTAAAGATGCACAGACACACCTACCAGGGATTTTCAAAAAAGAGCCTAAGCAGGGTATTTGCCTAATTTTCTTATCTGCATCTTTAGGCACCTATTGGCCTATAGGGAAATCCCCCTGCTGCAGGGTGCAGGCCAAATCCGACTCACCCTTAGTAGAGTGCAATCCAGGATGGCTCTGTGATTATACTGGTGTAATACAGCAGAATCTGGCATCCAGCAGCATAAATTGCACCATATAAAACCAACTATTAGAAAGCCAAAGAGGCATCAAGAAGGTGGCTGATTGTAACAGGCCCTACACAAGCGCGCTTTGTTTTGCAGAGGAGTGTTTGTTCCATCATAGCTCAGCGCGGTGGGGAAGGACAGGGCCAGGCAGAGGCAGTGAGGACAGGAATTCCATACCCGCTCAGAGCCACCTCCGCAAGCAAGCGGTCTGTCATGATCATGAGGGTTAGCCAGCAGCCTGGGGACTAAGGAGTTAACTATACCTAACCCAGGTAGAGTCGGCCAATAGGAATGTAGATAGGAATTTCAAATTAGGACAAAGGAATTTTTGGGTTTCCCTCCTTTGTCTCTGGGGCAGTTTCCCTCCAGCTTCTGAGGGAGACAGACAGAATGTCTCCCTACAAGAATAGACTCTTCACTCTTCTGTAAGTAGGGAAAAGTTTAGATAACTCCGTTAGGTTTTATTGTTTTATGGTTTGGGAAATGGGATCTGATGTCTGTGCATTTAAAAATGGGTTTTGTTTCTCTTTTGTAACTAAGCTCCTGGCCCATGGTGGGTTTCCCCTCCATGGCTGCGTCTAGATTGGCATGATTTTCCGGAAATGCTTTTAATGGAAAAGTTTTCCGTTAAAAGCATTTTCGGAACAGAGCATCTAGATTGGCACTGACGCTTTTCCACAAAAGCACTTTTTGCGGAAAAGTATCCGTGCCAATCTAGACGCGCTTTTCTGCAAAAAAGCCCCGATCGCCATTTTCGCAATCGGGGCTTTTTTGTGTAAAAGAAATCTGAGCTGTCTCCACTGGCCCTTTTGCACAAAAGGGACTTTTGCCTGAACGGTAGCAGCATAGTATTTCCGCAAGAAGCACTGATTTCTTACAGTAGGAAGTCAGTGCTTTTGTGGAAATTCAAGCGGCCAGTGTAGACAGCTGGCAAGTTTTTCTGGAAAAGCGGCTGATTTTCTGGAAAAACTGGCCAGTCTAAACACAGCCCATGAGTATATTACTTTGTTACTTTTCCATCTAATCATTATGCTTGCAACAGGAATATTGTGGTGATAATAAAAGTTCTTTCTCTTTTCTTTTTATTAACCTGGTATTAGTTAATTTTTGTGTCCTAGTTCATACTTTAGAGGTGAGATTTCCCAAGTGATCTCTCCCCTGATCTTCTTATCATTACTTGGGTGGTGGCAGTGGAGTTTTTATCCTCATAATCTAGGCTAAGATTTTGGGGGGAAGTTTTTTAACTAAGTTTGGAAAGATAAGGTTTTGGCGTACTATTGTAGGCCCCCACTTCTGCATTTATTGTGCCAGAGTGGGGATTTAGCCTTGAAACGGTCCTTCAGCCGCTGAGTCACAGCACGACGGGAAAGGTGAGAGGAGTCTGAACAATGCAGCAGGTCAAGGAGGATTCAGATTTGGCCAAGCCCTTCTCCATTAAAGGTTTTAAAAGCCAATAGAGCTGCCTTAAAGTCCAATTGCCACTTTGATGTAAAAGCCTTACTTTCCTCGGTCTGATTTCTTCAGATGATTCACAAAACTACCTCTCCAGACCAAACCGGGCCCCTTCCTTCTCATCCTACATCTCCTCTGGAGTATTTTGTCTGCTTGAATTTAGCATGAGAAGCAGCCAGATTCCTTATCTTCCCTTCCAAACTCTGCCCACTTCCACCTCCTCTGTCATGACTGCAACACTGACTCCATTCTGACTCCAGCCTGTGAGCTGGGTATTTCTGGCTGCTCCCTTTCCCTTGTTTCATACACCTAAGTTATATCCAAATCATGGTGCTTCGTCCTTCTCAGTACTTCCAAGACCCATCATTTTCTGCCCAACCGCACAGCTAAATCTCTGCCCCAGGCCTTCGTTATATTTCATCTTAGTTACTGCATCATCCCGATCTCTGCCCACCCCCACACCTGCTTTTTCTTTCTCCACTTGACTTGCTGTGGCATTTTATGTGATCACCTCCTTGCCCATTGATTTGGTCATGTCCCTGCCCTCTTTAAAACCCACCATTGGCTCCTCGCCCACTAGCACATCAAATTCAGACTTTTCCTCACTATCTGGGAAGCTCTTTATAACTCTGCCCCTTCCTACTTAACCAAGGGGGATTTCATCTGAAGCGGCCCCAACACTCCTCCACTCTGCCTGCATTTCCGCCTTGACTCCCCCTTGTCAGTATCTCAATAAATGGCTCTGTGCCTTCTGCCCTGCTGCCTGCTGTGCGTGGAACAACCTCCCGGCACTTCTTCACCAGGCCTCCATCCACACTGAAGTCCTCCTTGGCAGCCCACTGTGGTGATGCTTACGGTGAAAGGACGATGCACGGATGTGTTGTTTCACGTCTGCCCCAATCTCTTGTTACTTGCCTCTTTGCTTAAATGTTGAGTTCTTGAGGAGAGGGGCTGCACCTTCCTGTCTGGCTGGAAAGTGCCCAGCCCGTAGTGGTTGCTACCATAAATAAATACGAGTAACAACGTGGGTTTGAGATCTCCACCGGGATTCTCTGGCAGACCTTTACACAGAGAGGTTTGATTCCAGCAGCTTCATTCAATGGAGCACTCCAGACTGTTGGGATTTTCCTGCCTCCCTCTTCTCACTCAAGCAGATGGCCCAGTTAGGAGACAAGGTCTGAGCGCTAAGTGGGCTGACAGCCTGGGGATATGAAGAAGAGTTTGGCCTGACGGCCTGATTGATACGATAAAAGGGGGACAAGCCTGTCAGGCTGGCATGAAAAGTCTGGAGCAATTGCAGACAAGCCATATGCCAGGAGCAAATGTCCCCAGAACTGTCAGACTTGCCTCCCCCTTTTAGCTTATTAGACCTCCATAGGCACTGCCATTCATTGGATACTGACCCAGAAGACAGTTCAGGTTGGCCCATATTGCAGGTGTGAGGCTCTCAGCCACATTCAGTATCAATTCACTAGCACAGTGTTTCATTGCCAGCATTATTTATAGCTTCCACTGCAGCCCTGCCTGGGTGCTCCTCTTTGTCCTCTTGCTTATTGATATGCTGGTTTTTATTCTTGCATGGCAGAACAATTGTGCAATGCAGGGTCTTCTCTGCTCAGCCCAGTTAGTCCTGAAACTGCATGGAGGTGATTTAGTGAATATTAACCCTCACTTGGTCACTGTTACCTGCTCGGACTGAGGGGGCTCTTGCTGGGGGGCTGGCCTTTGCTTCCCTGGGAAGAAGTCAACATGATCAGGGAGGGTGCTAGGAAGAGAGCTAGAAATACGGCGGGGATGGAATTATACCATTGCAGAAGCGCAAGATGGAGCTTCCAATACCAGCAACACTAGCTGCTTCCTAGGAGGGACTCAAAATCCAGGCTCCAGTGAGGCTGGCTATCACCTGGCCAGACTCACTGTGTAGAGAGCCCGGCAGAAAGTAAACCACAGAGTGGCAGAAACAGTCAGGAAGCAGTGGGAGAAGGACACACCCACTCCTGGGAATCCCCAAGAGCACATACAGTGCCCACCCTCATTTCAGTGATACCTCTGGCCATGAAGGGCTTCTCCCCACCTTGCATCTGCCCGAGGGATGCCATTCCATTTATGTGCTATCTGGCTTCTGCCCTGAAGGAGTCAGCTGCAGTTTACCAGGCCTTGAATATTAGCAATCTGTCACCAAGGCAATTAACAAGGGCCATTTCCCCTCCTGCCCTCCCTCAGGAGAAACCTGACCCAAGTGCAGTTCTGTATCATGTGATTTCTCCAGATTAGAGGCCCACTGATCTGTGAGCCTCTCCGCGGTGAGCAGATGCAGCCACTCTGTCTTCAGGAATGGGCTACAGCACAGCCGGAGGGCTGGCAGGGAGCGCACAGCACCACACATTTCTTCTAGCTAATGAACTGCACCAAACAAATGAACTTCTCTGTTAACTGCACAACCTGAAAGCCCAGCAGCTGTTTCAGAGTCATCTTGAATCTCTGGAAAGTGGTAGGTGGGTTGTGGGGGAGAAAGCACAGGCCTGGGATTTGGCTGCAGGAATTGTATGCAGGTAGCAGGGTGGGTGTTGACAGTACAAGCTGAAGTTGTTGGTTCTTCTCTTTAGGTGATAGCAGTGGTGTCAATCCCCTCAATTTCCCTGCATCCAGGTCTTGAGTTATGCCCCCGCCTCTCCTCAGTGTTCAGAAGGAAGCGGTACAATGGTTAGCGCTCATTAGAATTCACTTAAAATCTGTCACCTAATCACTTGATGGCCCACAAGAGTTATATGAACAATCACAGGCTTTGCAGTTTGAGGGGGCTGCCTGGCTGTGGCCTCATCACTTTTTGGCTGAGCCAAACTTGGGTGGCATTGCCATCCCATGCAAGAAACCATAATGCCACTCTCTGAAATGTGTCCTGGCCTCCCTCTCCATCAAGACAGATGGACAGCTGAGCCAAACCTGAATGGTGCAAAGACACTCATTCAAATATGGAAGGTGTATGTTTAGGGGTT